GAAGAGTCAAGGAGTAGTTCCCTCTCCTCCAGTGAGCCCTTGAATGGTACATTTTTCTGGAAGTTCAGACCCCTACCCCTCTCCTACAGATCTCGGTGACGGAGAAAATTAAGAACAAATACAGTTAGGCTCTCCCGGCTTATGAATTTGAATGCCACCTGAACCTGACATGGTGTTAGTTTTTTGGGTTCTAAACTGCACAGTTTTTCAGAGTCAAAGAGTTCTGTAAATCCTATTCCAGCATTTTTCAGTGTCTCTATACTTAGGAGTGTGTTTTGGGGGGAAATAGAGACATAACTTAATCTTGTCGGTCCTTGAGGAGGTTCCATTTAGAGACCTTCCTATTTCCTGAAGGAGAAGCCTGGAAGCGTACAAAATCAATGATACCTCACCTCTGACTCAGAGTTCTTCTACATTTATGCCTTCCACATGAGGAAACAAGAGGCTGAAGTTCTGATCATATTACTCTTCCTTCATTGAAAAATGATTAGCAGGTCCCTGCAGGTTTTCAGACACTCTGAGAGCCAGCTCACCGCGTTCAGAAAGGCAGGCCACAACGCAAGCTGGGGAGGCACGCGGGCTATATGTCTGGTCACTTCGCAGATACAGTAATTTTTCAGCGAGCTGTTATCAATACAGACTGTGTACTGGGCACAAAACATAGTAGGGATAAAAAATGAGTAAGACCATTTCCGGCCTCTTGTTGATAGAAGGCTGTTACTAGTTTACAGTCAAAGACTCTCCTCCATTCACAGCAAGCTGTTTTACATCCCAATGAATTCATAACTCCACCAGCACTGGACTTTGAGGGTTTAAGGTTTCCAGGACGCCACCTCATTAAAGTAAAAAAAGGAGTGAGGTCAAGCAAGAGAAGGAACAAAAGAAGCACAGAAGCTGACCCTGAAGAGTGGTCACCTCTATAATGGAATACTTGAAATGGCCTTTAGTTTAAAACTGGTATTTGCTCCTTTAAGCAGGTCCCCTCAATTCTAGCTGTCTCTGCAAAATGGATGATTGATCACCAACGGAAACTTACTTACCAGTTAATCGGTTACTATTGAATTGCTGGTACATCTCAGTTGTCTGCTACGCCTCAGAGTAATCTATAGTACTTTAGTGAAGAAAAGCTTCTAATTAAATAGCATTCCCTAATGTATGAAAATCCATGTCTAGAGCTAAAACATTTCATTAATTATGAGTCAGTAGGTTTAGCATCTCAGAGACTCTGTTTGCTAATTTGTCAGTATTTCAAATGAAGACATAGTTGTTGCTTACATAAAAAAGTACTGTGGGTGATTTTTAAACAGTAAAAGAGAGTGGATATAAGAATTTCACATTCCATGTAACAGAAATTTGACCTTAAGGAGTAAGGTGATTTTATATAAGGATAATGAAATTTTTATTTCAGTTTGTTCTTGAACACTAAGTTGGTTTGAAATATAATGACAATTTTCTGGTTATTATAAATATAATGGGATAATAATAGAGAATTTCTAATCTTCAAATAATTTTCCAGGATTTATGTAGCTATATACAAAGATGTGTAAGAATGAACTTTTTCCTCCTCTTTTTCTTCCAAGTTAACCTTCATTTTCCTTAATATATCCTCCTGCTCCCTAGTTATCGGTCCCGAATTTACCAATTCGAAACTATCTTGTCAGGATAGTTAGGAGTCAGACATTCTATTTATCCCTCATAAACTCTTAACTGCCTGTATTCCTTTAAAAAAAAAAAGCTTTAATAATATTGGTTCATATCGCCACGCTCATTCCCCATCTACCCATAATTGATTCAGTTACTTGTTCATTTGATTAATATTCACTGAAGATTTACTGTATGAGGTATTTCATCTATTATAAGCAATTACAGTGGTGAACAAAACAGGTCCCTAATCCCAGAGAGCCACCTAGAGAAGTCTCCCATCAATCATATAACCAAAATAGAAGAATGTGACCTAGATACTGGGATCAGGGAAGGCCTGCTGAGTTAATGATGACCAGCTGGGATCTGAAGGAGGCATAGCCATTAACAAAGTGCATGGAGGTGGAAGGAGGACTTCAGGCAGAGGGAACAGCATGTGCAAAGGCCCTGTAACAGGAGGACACATGGCATATGTGGAAAACTGAAAGAAGGTCAACTTGCTGGAGCACAGAGAGCAAAGGGAGCACATGGCAGAGTGAGTGTGGAGATGTTGGGTAGGATTCAGATGAGTCAGGGCCCAAGAGGTCACAAAAATTGTGTCCTTCACCTAAGAGCAATAAGGAGACATTTTTAAGTGTTTTAAACAGAGTTATATGATAAGACTTACGTTGTAAGAAGAAAATGTGGCTGCAATGTAGAGACTGGATCTGGAAAGCGATTGGGTAAGACTGGTGTGGCAGGTCCAGTTAGGAAGTCTAGGAGAGGGTGGGGGGATGGAGGGAGGGCTTGGATGAAGGTTGATGTGGTGGAGATAGAGAAACTGGATGGACCCAGGAGATCTTTAGAAAGGACAATTGATTGGAATTGGTAATGAACTGTAAATGGGGAAGAATCAGGGATGACCTTTTGGTTTCTGACTTTTACACCTGGAGGAATGGTAGAGCCATTCACTGGGGTGCATTGTATCATAAGAGTAGGCATGGGGAAGACTGTGTTTTCTACACTAGCCATGTTTAGCTTAGGTCTTTGAGCTGTCTGAGTGCAGATTTCATAGTGCGATTTATGCACGGTCAGCTCAGAGCAGAGGGGTAGTCTGGAGGTACACAGGTGTCAACTAAATAGCAATAGCTGCTGCAGGAGAGCCTGAGAGCCTGGGGGAGAGTATGAGGAGTGAGTGGAAAAGCAGCCCTAAGATGGAGCCTTGAGAAACCCCAACATTGATAGCCAGGCATGGGTTTTCCTGCAAAGGAGACATAAATGTTGCAGCCTGAAAAGTAGGAGGAAAACGGGAGACTGAAGTGTTGAAGGGAAGGGAGCTCTTACTTGTCACACATTACTGGACAGTATTTTTTAAATCCTTCCTTTGAAGTTGAACCTGAAGGATAAATACCTGGCTGAGTGGTAATTGCCTTTCAGTAAGCTGGTTACTGAGGCATTTGATGTGCAGCATTTGCATGTTTTGAGCCTTTCACTATAATGATGACAAATATGTAAGTGGTGTTTTCTGCATGCTGGGTTCTACTGTAAAGGACTTTTATAAACTAGCTCGTTTAATCTTCACAACAGTTCTCTAAGGTAGGCACATTTCTATAATTCTCTCAGTTTTACAGCTGGGGGAACTGAAATGGAGATGACATGAATTTCACAAACACAGAGAGGCTGTAGGGACTACATAAAGTAAACAGGCATTAGGGACCAGGGTTTAATGCAGGCACTGGGGTCTAGGCTGTGCTGCCTCCCATGAATTATCTATCAACCACCACTTTGCGCCACCTCGCTGCACACAGATGCACAAAGGCACACATTTTAAAGTATAATGTCCCGCCATAGCTGGGTGGCTCGGGACATTATACATTATACATTATGCATTATATGTTGGCTGGGGCATCGTCCTGTACACCAAAAAGGTTGCAGGTTCAATCCCCAGACAGGGTGCATATAGGAGGCCACCAATTAATATTCTCTCTCTCTCTCTCTCTCTCTCT